TCCATCCAAACACCCACCCTCTCTCCCTCTCTCCTCCGGTCCCCCCTCATCCACCCTGGGGAGAGCTGAAGCACTTAGCAGGGACCCCAAGCTTTCTGGCCACTTGTCTCAATGGCAGCGGCTACTGTTCCCCTCATTTCCAGGCTCAAACAGAAAGAACGCCTGAGCTGGGGAGGTGCCGGGCAGCTCTTCAAACTGCAAGAAGGCCCCTGGAGCTGGTTTCAACCCTGGGAAACTGGGGGGGGAGAAGGGGGGATGTTGCCACTAAGAACTGCAGAGCAGCCACAGTCCGCCCCTGCCCTAGCTGGTTTGGGAGTAGGGAGTGGGACCTGCGGTTTCCCAAAGAGCTGGCCTAGACTCTGTCACTAACACCCTTTCCAGGTCCACCCCTTCCTGATCCGAGCTTTGCTCTCAAGAAAGCAAAAGACAACCAGGAACCAACCGTGTGGCACCTGGACAGCCTCTGAATGGCACTGGAGGCATGGCTGGCCTCCCTCCAAACCCACCACAGCCTTGACATTCCAGGGCCCAGCTCTCAGCCTTTTGTTCCCTGGCACACACTCAGCTCAGACTTGGGTGGGAAAACAAGTTCACCTGCCCCAAAGAAGCCAGGGCAGGTGGTGGAAGGAGGAAATGCCCTTAAAAAGAGGGCTACAAAAGATAAGTCCTCGATGACCAGGCACTGCCAGAATACAGGGCGTTGAACGTTTCCACTCACTCAACACGTATTTACTAAATACCTACTATGGCAAAACACTGCTAGTAGATATATCACCCATATGCAATATTTGTGTATATTACCGGTTGTCAATACACTGTAGTGTGTACTGTTTAATACGTCTTATAAAATATACAGAATATAGGTATAGTATTCATTATAGCCTATAAAATTATAGATTGTAGACGAGAGTACATTGTCTATAACATTTAGTTTGTAGCATCCAGTAAACAGGCCAAGTCCAGGGCATTCATTGCCTGGCACACAGTAGGCCCTCAACAAATGTCCACTGAATAAATCATCTTTTTGTAGTAATTCAGTTCACTTCAATCATTACAGTTTAGGCTAAGGAAGACCCCGGTTAGGGGAGAGAAGTTACACATTCCTCGGGCAGGCACAAATCAGACCAGGGCCCCCCCCTCCCCGTGCTGAGCCTGCGCCCCCCAGGGCCCAGGCTGCCTTTCCCCTGCAGGCTTTGCTTCTCCTTTGATGATGCCCCAGCAGGTAGCCTGGGTTCAGCCTCGTGGGAACGTGGTGGTGCAGTCATCCGGGATTCTAGTTGCCCCAGCCTGTTGGAATTCAGATGCCCTGTGCCCTTTTTTCTTCCCCCTGAATATTTTGGTTTAAGGACCAGCTCTCTGGGACAGAGCATTCTCAAGATCTCTGAAGGAGCCTCTGCTTCCCCGGGTTTTAGGGTGCAGTGCACCTTTCATAACCAGCTACTTTGTGATGTCACCACCTG